TGTGTGTGTGTGTGTGTGTGTGTGTGTGTGTGTGTGTGTGTGTGTGTGTTTGTGTCTGTCCTCCTCCTCCTTCTCTTCCTCCCTCTTCCTCGTCGAGACTGCGCTGGCAATGCTGCGGCTTACCCCGCTGTTTCTTTGTAGAGTGAGTCACGCGCGTATTCCCACCAACTGCCCCTTGCTAATCACGCCCAGTTAGTTGCTCGCACTTTGTTGTTGCTTCCTTACTCGCTGCCGCGAGGGCGCCTTGCCAGCAGGTTTGAACCTCCCCGTCTCCCGACTACAAATCAAACTCACGCGCGTATCAGCCAGTCTCTGTTGAGACAATCCCTGCTTCTCTTACTTCGTCTTGGCGTGCACTAGTTTGAGTCAGAGTCTCAGCATCGGAACACCTGTGCTGGCGGCAGAGCGTGCATCGTGATCTGGCCAAGCATCAACGACGTAGCGCGCTCGCTGACCATTGGCATCAAGCCGTGCATGGTGTGGAAGACACGTGGACCGAATCTACGGCACCAGTGCGCTTCGTCTGAGGTGACAGGAAGGCAAGGCACACGCAACATTTGGGATCAAAAAAAGAAGTGCTACCGCATACGGGTATCTTTGCGTCGAAAAAACTTGCTGTCCGCCAATTATCCCTGCTCGTCCACCTTATATTCCTATGTTGTCCCTCCTCCTCGTTCTCCCTCCCTCCTCCAGCTTCTCCGTAGCCCCTTCTTTCTTGGGGCTGTCCTGTGGCGCTCTTGGGTCGTCCGGCGCTGTCTCGGGTGGCCTTCGAAACACTTTGTGGACCTCTGCTGGACAGCCCTTTTTTTTCGAAGGCTATCATGTGACCGTCTTGAACCGAATAGCCAATTGCGAAGCCAACTGTTTCGTGTTGGGAAGATTTGGGCTGTGAGGTGTGTGTGTGTGTACACGCATGTATACGTGGTATATATATATATATATATATATATATATACACACGTATATACACACCAGAACCCTTGCGCGCGCGCTCAGCTTCTAGCTGATCCCAGGACTTAACGAATTCACTGCTCCACTGAAGACTGAAATAGTGGACCACAAATGGTTTGAACGGGAAGTGAAGAAGTGTCCATAACGCTGAAAGCATGAAGAACAATGAAATCCATGCATGTCAATCCGTATGCCGGAAGGCTTTCGGGAAAGATGGTTGCTTAGGGGGGCGGAGGCCTGATGAATCGAGTTTCCAGAAGGTCTTCTGGGAAAATGGTTTTTGGGGGCGTCTTGGGGAGCCTGTTGGGGCGTGCCGTCGTCGTTGTCGTCGTCGACGTCGTCGTCGTAATGTCGTCGTCGCCTCTTGGGGCGCGCAGTCGTCGACGTCACCGTCGTCGTCGTCGTCATCGTCGTCGTCGTCTTCGTCGTTTCGTCGTCGTCGTCGGATGGGTCCCTCCCAAGATCCATCCAGCGCTTCTGGACCCCCTCCGGAAGATCTCCCGCCCCCCTCCGCAGGACCGGCAGAAACCGATTACCAAGTCACAGACTCGGGCCCCATGGCACAAAGAAGTCAAACTTCATACGGTGCTACCATACGGTTCAAAAGGGCACTTGGGGCAACTTTGTGCGAAACGATCCGCGGAGGGCCGCGAGAACGCGATCAATCATTTTCCAATCAACTTCCCAGACAGCTAGCTCTCTGGTAAGGTAATGCTACTTCGGAGCCTCCGGAAACTCTCGGGCCCCTGATGATCTATGAACCATGTCCCCTGGAACGCTTTCTAGGAACATGATTTGCTGGGGTGTGTTGGGGGGCCTCTTTGGCGTTCCCAGGGGGCCCTTTGGGGGCCTCTTGGGGCTTCCTGGGGGCCTCTTAGGGGCCTCACGGGGCTTCTTGGGAGTCTTTTTCCCAACCCTCCTGCGTTGGGTACTCGTTTTGAATAGAGCACTGCGGTCTCCGTTCTCCTCCTCCCGCCCCCCCCCTCTCTTCCCTCCTCCTCTCCTCTCTTGCTTGCCTTCTCCTCCTCTCTTCGTTCCTCCTCTTCTCTTCTCTTGCCTTTCACGTCATCCCTGGCGGGCTGCGATCTGCGGAACTGTCACCACTTTCGAGGGCTGCTGGTGGGTCCAGCGGAGTGAGGCACCACGGGGACTCAGATTAGACCTCGCCATCCCTGGGGGGGGGGCTGCGATCTGTGAAACTGTCGCCACTTTCGAGGCCTGCTGGGGGGTCCAGCATAGAGGGTAATCGCGGCAGGTCCAAATTAGACCTCGCCCTCCCTGGGGGGCTGCGATCTGTGAAACTGTCGCCACTTTCGAGGCCTGCTGGGGGGCCCAGCACAGTGAGGGCCACGCGCGGACCCAAATTAGACCTCGCCATCCCTGGGGGGCTGCGATCTGTGAAACTGTCGCCACTTTCGAGGCCTGCTGGGGGGCCCAGCACAGTGGGCACCCACGGCGGATTCAAATGTGACCTCGCCATCCCTGGGGGGCTGCGATCCGTGAAACTGTCGCCACGTTCGAGGGTTGCTGGGGGGCCCAGCACAGTGGGTACTCACGGCGGATTCAAATAGGACCTCGCCATCCCTGGGGGGCTGCGATCTGTGAAACTGTCGCCACTTTCGAGGCCTGCTGGGGGGCCCAGCGGAGTGACGCCCTACGGGGATTCAGATTAGACCTCGCCACCCCTGGGGGGCTGCGATCTGTGAAACTGTCGCCACTTTCGAGGGCTGCTGGTGGGTGGCCAGCGGAGTGAGGCACCACGGGGACTCAGATTCTGACCACGAGCAATGCTCGCGTGCCCTTGCTCTGCGGTTCGTGCCACGTGGCGCTGCGACTCGAGCTGGCGGTCGTCCTTCGGACCCGCAGAAACATCTGCTGAGCTCGATGAGCTAGGGGAACTACAGGAAAGAAGTGCAGGACACGGAGGCCGGTCATGCACTCGCCGATACCTCGTTGCTCTGTCATCGTCTTTGCTGTTGCATGATCCTTATCTGGCCTGCCGGCGCCGCGGCTCGAGCTGGCGGTCGCCCTTCGGGCCCGCGGGAACATCTTCTGAGACAAGTGGACGCCGCCGCCTTACTTGCAGGCAGCGCATTGCATTCGCGGACAGAAGCATGGCAGACCGCAGTGAGATCCTCAGTCGCGTGGTGTTGCCAAGCCTGGTGGAGACGCGCGTGATCGACCTGAAGTCCCAATCGCGCGTGCACTGTACCTGCGTGGCGTTCAGGCACGCGC